TGTTCTCCCTGGACGGGGCCGTGGGGGTGAGCGGCAGTCCGGGCTGACCTCCACCGGAAGCAAAGCCACGGGCCGCGTCTCAGGGAAGCTGCTGGCATAACAGGCCTCCCCGCTCCCGAAGCAGAGTGAGTCTAATAAACCCTCGGGAGACAGCACAGAGCCCCCGCTCCTCCGTTGGCTTCCACACTGCTTTCCCCTCTCCAGACTAACAAAAAAGGGGGATTGCATGCAATGCCCAGCCCTTACACCAGCTCAGCGGCAGGCCTACAGACCCGAGACACCTTGCAAAAAAGACTTAGGAATTCATCCATTTAGTAGCAGAGGAAGCAGACGTTCAGGAGAGAGCCGGGAGGGTGTGTGAAGGTGGGGCCACGTCCACGGCCGCAAGGGCAGCAGGGGGCGGGGGTGAGGCGCGGCGGAAGAGACCTGAAGAGCAAGCGGAAGACAGCTCCACGGGGGCCCTGGCGTCTCAGGAGCTTGACAGAACGTGAGATGGGTCATCAGAAGTCAGGGAGTAGATGGCGGGACGGCAGAATGAGAGCAAGGTTCAGGAGCTGAGAAAACACAGTTCCTCAAAATCACGCCGTCGCTAGAATAAGAGCCAGCGAGGGGCAGGATGTCGGGCGACTAACGGGAGGCTGTGCGGTCCAGCGGGGAGCGGGGGAGAGGTGATAAACGTGACATTACAGGCCTTGAAGACAAAGTAATGAGGGTCAGGGGACAGGGTGATCATAGTGGGGGCACAGTTTGGAGAGGCTGGGACATTGGCGGAGGGGGGACCCATGGGAGTCCAACGGTGGGTGAAGTGGCCTGGAGGCCACTCGACGGGGCTGCATCGTTGTGCAGGGCCTGGAGAGTCCCGAGTGACCTGAGCTGACGTCTGGTGAGGGATGTGAGAAGCAGCAGCAGATGAGGAGGCAAGAGGCCTCAGAGGAAGGCTCACCGTGCCAGAGGCCGTGCGCAGTTAGAAAAAACACTCAGAGACTCACTACAGGAAAGTTCCCCCCGAGTCACCTGGGAGCCTCCAGGACCACAGTGGGGTGCAAGTCACACGGAGACCCACCTCGCCTGCTTACTGAACTTCAGGGATTCTTAGAAGTGTTTTTCAGAGAAAGCATGTCACATACAAAGAAGAAACCCCAAGTTGGCCCTGCTCTCTCCAGCAACATTCAAAGCCTGAAGAGCAAATCGCGAGGGTAAGAAAGCGCTAAACTGAAGAATCCTGCCCCAGCCAAGTTCTCGCGCGTGTTTAAAGGCCTCAGGGAAACATTTCTAAACCTAGAAGAACCTGAGAAATAAAGTTCTTTAAAAATGTGAAAGCTGACCTTTAAGACAGCCAATAAAGATGTAATTGAAACAAAGACTGAGTGGGCAGGTGCTGGCGGTGAGCTCGGCCCCCCAGTGGGATGCAGATATGACACGTGGAACGCAGGGGACGGGAGTGACTTTGCAAGGTGGGCCGGGGCCAGAGGGGAGGTGCCGGCACCCTTCAGCGTTCAAAGCCCGGCATCGGATGGACACACGCCACCCAAACCCCAGTGACACCCATCTCTCAACATTTGTTGTAACTTCTAAAAATAATCTTAGCAAAAGCTTGTAAACTTGGGGTGAATAAGCGTTCATCTAATTTCAGCGGTCATGTTTTCCCTTGAAATTAAATTTTTAAAAATTTGAAAGAATTCTACACTTATTCTGTTGGGTTTTTTTTAAGATTTTTTTTGATGTGGACCATTTTTAAAGTCTTTATTGAATTTGTTAACAATATTGCTTCTGTTTTATGTTTTGGTTTTTTGGCCACAAGGCATGTGGGATCTTAGCTCCCCGACCAGGGATCGAACCCACACCCTCTGCATTGAAAGGCGAAGTCTTAACCACTGGACAGCCAGGGAAGTCCCTATTTTGTATTTCCATATATCCTCTCGCCTCTGCCTAGGCCTTTAGAAATATCTGAACAACCTCCACCTAATGTCGACAGCGGTCCTCTCGATGATGAAATTGTGGGCGAGATTTTTAAACTTTATTGTTGGATTGCTGAATAGTGAGCAAGTGTTCTTGTAAAGCCAATGGACTCATTTTTTTCAACCGGCAACACTGGGCAGTGACTGTCTCCGGCCCTCGGTAGGGCACGAACTACGCACACCTCCCAGGCGCCCTGCCAGCCCTTGGGGTGGGGGTGGGGGGCGGGACGTGCCCTGTGGGCTGGGCTGGGCTGGGGGGGCTCCCCTTTCTGCTTGGGGTGTCCAGAGTGGTCTCTGCTCCTGCTCTGAGCCCACCTGATCCACTAGCACAGACGGGGGCTAGGGTACAAGGGAGACCACACAGGAGGGTGGCCGTCCTCTCTGCCACAGGAGAACCTAAGCAGATCCCCGGCCCGGGGGTGTCACTGTGAGTCTGGGGAGGTGCGTTGCTCCTCCTAGACTTCAGGAAGGGACCTCCCGGTTGGGAAGCAGAGTAAAGGGACACTGCAATGTCCACTGTCAGCAGTGACCGGGGGCAGTGTCCTAACCAGAGTGGTGCTGTCTGACCTGTCTGCTGGGTGACACCCTCCTCTCATCCGGGGGCTCCCAGCTGGGTCACTGGTGACGTTGGGACCTGGACATTCTCAGCTGGGGGCGGGGCGGGGGCATCCTCTGCTCTTGGGATGTTGCACAGGCCCCAGCCTCCAGCCACTCGATGCCAGAGTGCCCCTCCCTCCGACATGTCACATCTTCGCCCCAAACCTGTGGCCGTGCCGGGTTACGCGGCAAGGGGGGAGTTGAGGTTGCTAACCAGGTGGCCTTAAAATACTATCCTGGGGTGTCCAGGCGGCCCATCATCACAGGGTCCTTAAAAGCGGAGGAGGAGGTGCTGCACTGCTGGCTTTGGAGATGGAGGATGGGTCCCCGAGCCAAGGCGTGCGGGCGTCCCGAGGAGCTGGAGAAGGCTGGAGCCCCCGCAGGAAGGTAGCCCTGCCCACGCCCTCATCTCAGCCCAGCGAGACCCGTTTCAGACTCCTACAGAACTAAGCGTCCATGGATTTGTGTGAAGACACTAAGTAACTTGCGGTAACTTGCTAGGGCAGCGATAGGAAGTCAACACACCCAGGGTGACAACGAAACCATCTCCGGCACTGCCACCCGTCCTGGGGCTCCACGCCTTACTGGAGCGGGCCACGGGATCCACCAGGGGAGCCCCACGACTTCTGCTGGTGTGGTGAGGAGTGCTGGGTGGTCCCAGTGGGGGAGACCTGGTGCAGAGGAGAGGCCCTGAGACCACTCGCAGGACAGAGGGCCGGCCAGCCCAGCATCCTGGACCCACCCCCTCCGACTGCGGCCTCATGAGACACCCTAAGTGAGACCAAGAGGCCTGGCAGGGTGAGCCCAGTGAGGCCCTGGCCATGAAGTCCTTTAAGGCCGCTTGGGGCAGAGAACTCCACAGCACTTGTCACCTCTATTGTAACTGTTGGCACTTTAGCATGGGAAGGGGTCCTCCCGGTCAGCATGGAGCCTGGCCCAGAGCAGGTTCTGGCCTTTGACACGTACCCCCCACTTTACCAGGGTTCCTGAGGAGGAGGCGGAGGGAGTCGTGGTGTCCCCCAGGGCCCAGCCTAACCCTCACCTCCACCCTTCTCCCCCACGCCTTAGGACACCTCCCCCAGCCCCAGCCTCCACCTCACATCCCTGTGGCCCACCACTAACCCTAGGGGTCTAGGGATCCTGAGAAAGGCACAGGCCTGGAACAAGATTACACTCAGGGGACCCCAGAGAGAACGGGGTGGGGGCCTAGCTGCATGATCTTGGAAGGCTTCCTGGAGGAGGGGCCTGCGCTAAGGCCAGGGTGGGCAGGTGGGGTCGCAGCACCTCAGCATCTGGCTCTGGGAGGGAGGCAGAAACCCGGGCGTTGCCCTCACCCTGGGCCTGGGGGTGGGGGTTGAATACCTCATCCTGCCCAAAGCCCCCCTCCCTCACGGCCACCCACACACGCTGCCCCCAGTCAGCCCCTGACTGTCAGTCACCAAGTCCAGGGGATGGCACCGCACCTGCTGCCCTCCTTCCACCCCCTCCCCACGGGCTGGGAGCCTATCATCACCTCCCTTCCTCCCACTTCCTCTTCCCCTCCAGCTTGGTCTCCCCAAAATGCAGCCCCATGTCACCCCCAGCCCAGCACCCCCCCGCCCACCCCTCAACCTCAGGACATAGGTGGACACCGTGGCAGGCCAGGGCCAGCTCCTTGCAGCTACCCCACCCTGCCTTCTCAGGCCCTGTCCCACTACAAGCTCCCTGTGCAGAGACGGGTGGCATCACCTCCTCCAGGAAGCCTCCCTCTGTGTTGGGAAACTCTTTGGCTCCTGTAAGCTCTGGGCTTCTCCCCACCACGGCATCACCCCCGAGTTACACGTGCCCCTGGGGGCCTCCTGGAGAGGCAGTGCTCCTGGGCTGGGTGGGCACCAGTACCAAGCAGTTCATGACCAGCACCTCCCCGCTCCAGGAAGATCGCTGGTCCCACCTCACTGCCCCCTGCAGGAAGGCACCCAGCTCCCCAAGGGGCTAGGCTCCCCAGGCCAGACCCCTTCCACCCAGGCCAGCTACTGGGCTGTCCAAGAACCAGGCCCCGAAGGGGGGACTGCCAAGGCCTCACACCCCTCCCAGGCCGCCCACAGTGTCTTGTCCCCAGGATGACGGCCCCTGGGGGGTGTGGGCAGCCTCTCCTGGCAGCCCAGAGGGCCATCTTGGAGGGCCACTCTGCTCTATCCCTCAGGCCCTGCCAGGTGGCCTCTTGGAGATTGGGCTGGGGCAAGTCACCCCAACCGGAGGTGGTCTCTAAGGCCTCAGGGGTGATTGTTCTGAAGAGAGAGCAGCCAGACATCCTCCCAGGCCTGTTTTCTCATCCCTGGGCTGGTCGTGACTGTCTAGTGGGCACTGGGGAGGGCGCAGGGGCCATGCGCCCCAGACCTGGCAGGCCGCCTCCCCAGGACCCACAGGAAAGGCACCGAAGACAGACACGCGGGGCTGAGTCGTCTCTTAGGAGGGCGGCGACCTCGAGGCCTGGGCCTCCTGAGTCACACTGTGCCAGAAAGGCGCGCTCCGGACCAGGAAGGCTTGGAAGGCGCTGCTGGACTCGGCGGACCTCGGTGGATGGGGGAAGAGCACGTCCTTGTCCACGTCCTGGGACACCAGCTGGGCCACGATCTGCGCGAGGTCCTGCGTGGACTGCAGGGTCAGGGGGGCGGGGCGAGCAGGGCGGGGCGGGGCAGGGCCGAACCCTCGGCGCACCCTGCCCTGCGCACCCTGTAGGAGAGGGTCGCCCCGGGGAGGCCCGGCCTCTCGCCGCCGCCCAGCACGGCCAGCCTCCAGCGCTCCTCTCTGCTGACGTTCCAGCGGCGGCTCGGGGGCCTGCTCCCCTGCGGCTCGCACACCTGCGGGGACAGGGCAGGGGTCCGTGCCGGCCGCGCCTGGGGGTCCCGCATCCGCCACGCGGAGGGGGTACGCTTCCAAAGTGCGGTGCGCTCAGCCTCCCTAGTGCCGGCGGGCGGGCAGGTCCTCAGCCTCTGGTCCTGGGGCCTTCTGTGGCCGTGCCCGGCGGCTCGGCCCCTGGGCACCCCGGCCGGCACCTGCCCTGCCTTCCCGTGCACGGGTCGGCCCCCTGGATGCTGGGGGCCATTACTGCGGAGGCCATGGCCCTCTGGCTGCTGCCCGGTCGGTCCCGGCCAAGCAGAGCTGGCCCACACTCTGGGGAGGCCCCAGAACAGGCAGCCAGACTGCGGCCGCCTCAAGAAAGGCGGACCCACAGCTCCCCAAGGGGCTAGGCTCCCCAGGCCAGACCCCTTCCACCCAGGCCAGCTACTGGGCTGTCCAAGAACCAGGCCCCGAAGGGGGGACTGCCAAGGCCTCACACCCCTCCCAGGCCGCCCACAGTGTCTTGTCCCCAGGATGACGGCCCCTGGGGGGTGTGGGCAGCCTCTCCTGGCAGCCCAGAGGGCCATCTTGGAGGGCCACTCTGCTCTATCCCTCAGGCCCTGCCAGGTGGCCTCTTGGAGATTGGGCTGGGGCAAGTCACCCCAACCGGAGGTGGTCTCTAAGGCCTCAGGGGTGATTGTTCTGAAGAGAGAGCAGCCAGACATCCTCCCAGGCCTGTTTTCTCATCCCTGGGCTGGTCGTGACTGTCTAGTGGGCACTGGGGAGGGCGCAGGGGCCATGCGCCCCAGACCTGGCAGGCCGCCTCCCCAGGACCCACAGGAAAGGCACCGAAGACAGACACGCGGGGCTGAGTCGTCTCTTAGGAGGGCGGCGACCTCGAGGCCTGGGCCTCCTGAGTCACACTGTGCCAGAAAGGCGCGCTCCGGACCAGGAAGGCTTGGAAGGCGCTGCTGGACTCGGCGGACCTCGGTGGATGGGGGAAGAGCACGTCCTTGTCCACGTCCTGGGACACCAGCTGGGCCACGATCTGCGCGAGGTCCTGCGTGGACTGCAGGGTCAGGGGGGCGGGGCGAGCAGGGCGGGGCGGGGCAGGGCCGAACCCTCGGCGCACCCTGCCCTGCGCACCCTGTAGGAGAGGGTCGCCCCGGGGAGGCCCGGCCTCTCGCCGCCGCCCAGCACGGCCAGCCTCCAGCGCTCCTCTCTGCTGACGTTCCAGCGGCGGCTCGGGGGCCTGCTCCCCTGCGGCTCGCACACCTGCGGGGACAGGGCAGGGGTCCGTGCCGGCCGCGCCTGGGGGTCCCGCATCCGCCACGCGGAGGGGGTACGCTTCCAAAGTGCGGTGCGCTCAGCCTCCCTAGTGCCGGCGGGCGGGCAGGTCCTCAGCCTCTGGTCCTGGGGCCTTCTGTGGCCGTGCCCGGCGGCTCGGCCCCTGGGCACCCCGGCCGGCACCTGCCCTGCCTTCCCGTGCACGGGTCGGCCCCCTGGATGCTGGGGGCCATTACTGCGGAGGCCATGGCCCTCTGGCTGCTGCCCGGTCGGTCCCGGCCAAGCAGAGCTGGCCCACACTCTGGGGAGGCCCCAGAACAGGCAGCCAGACTGCGGCCGCCTCAAGAAAGGCGGACCCAAAGGTCAGCCTCCTCCCCAGGCCCCTCTAAAATGACCATAAAGAGGCGTAGGGTGAAAAATATCGCTCAGGTGTCCATAGAGACACAGGAACAGGCAGTGAGGCACAGGTGTTAGAGGGCTGTCGGCAGAGGCTGGAAAGCGGTTAGTAACTGGGAAAGGCCAGAAGCGCGCTGCACCCCTGCAGGAACCCCCCCCCCCAGGGAGAACTTCCCAGGTGGGCTGTCCGTGAAAGACCCTCAGAGCCTCTCCTGCTCTGCCCAGCCAGGGAGCCATCCCACTGCCTCCCTGGGGGAAGCCAGGAGGTCACCCTCCGGAGTGCCATGGGGGGCAGGGAAGGGTGCCATGCTAAAAATAAAGAGAGGATTAAGACAAACTCAGTCCCCATTCCTCAAAAAATTAAAAATAGAACTACCATATGATCCAACAATCCCACTTCTGGGTATACATCCAAAGGAATTGAAAGCAAGTCTCAAAGAGATATTTCTGTACTCATGTTCATAGCAGCATTATTTGCCGTAGCCAAAAAGTGGCTGCAACCCAAATGTCCATCAACGGATGAATGAATGAGCCTAATGTGGTCCATCCACACAATGGAATATTATCCAGCCTTAAAAAGGAAGGACATTCTGGCACAGGCTGCAATATGTGTAGTGAAATAAGCCAGTCACAGAAAACACAAATATTATTTAGTCCAGGGATCCCCGGCTCCCCCCCACCCCCACCAACCAGGCTGCACAGCAGGGGCGAGCGAGCAAAGCTTCATGTGCCTCTCCCCATCGCTCTCATTACTGCCTGAACCACGCCCCGCCCCCATCCAGCGGCTTTCCCCCCCCCCCCCCCCCCCCCGGCCCCACCGTCGGTGGAGAAATTGTCTTCCATGAAACCAGTACCTGCGCCAAAAAGGTTGGGGACCGCTGTTTTAGCCCACTCATACGAGTTACCTAGGGTCATCAGATCCGTAGAGTCAGAACATGGAATGATGGCTGCCAGGGCTGGGCGAGGGCGAGGTGCTGCTCAATGCGGACAGAGTTTCAGGTTTGCAAGATGGAAAAGTTCTGGAGCTGCGTTTCACAACAATGCAAGTATACTTAACACTACTGAACCGTACACTTCAAAATGGTTAGGATGGTGGACCCAGAAACATGCACAGAAGGAAGATGATGTGAGAAGACACAGGGAGAAGACGGCCGTCTACAAGGCAAGGAGAGAGGCCTGGAAGAGACCCTCCCCTCGCAGCCCTCAGAGGGAACCAGCCCTGCTGACACTTTGATTTTGAACTTCTTGCCTCCAGACTGCGAGACAATACATTTCTGTTGTTTAGGCCAAAGAAAGTGAAGCCCCCAGCCCCTCTTCCCACTCTGCACCCAGAACGGTGGCAGCCTCCCCTTCTGCGCAGGAGAGGGGAGGGGTCCTTTCTGGGGGGAAAGGCCAGCCCCAGGGGAGAGGCCTACAGACACCAAGAGTGGGGGGTGCCCAATGCAAAGCAGCCCAAATCTGCCCAATCACCCCACAAAGAGCGTGGCCGCTGCTGAGGCTGCCCCCGGCGCACGGAGTCTTCAGCCAGCCCTGCGTGCCCCACTCTTCAGTGTAGACCAAGAGCGGCCCCCGCCCCCAGCCTGAGAACGTCTCCAGGGTGAAACACAGAGGCCAAACCACCAACCTGGGCAGAAGGAGCTCAGACGACAGGGAGCAGAAGAAAGCGGGCCACCTCCCGCCGTAACTGTCGTTCTCCTGGATTCAATGTACCTATGAAACAAGAAGAGGATGAAGTGGAAAAGGGCTGTTCCGAGAACGGGGATGAGCTCTTTCGAGTTAAAAGTGGGACATCAGAATTACAGCTTCTATAGCAGGTGCTGGGCAGGCTGTTGACCCTCGTTCGTCACTCCCTTCCTGGAATCGAATCCTACACCTCCCCTTTAACGTGTGACGTCACGCCAGCTCCCACTACAGTATATTTTCCTGCCTCGCTGATGTTGGGCAGGTCCTCAGGATGCTGACAGAGCACATGCATTCCCAGTGTAGTCTGAGTGGGCCTCCTGAGATTCTGTGTCCACCTGGGCACAGGCTTCCCTGGGAAGACCTCTGAGGGTAAGAGGCATGGAAGACACACAACCTGCGAGCAGAAAAACAAAAGTTTGCTGTTGTGAATCATGGAAATTTTGGAGTTGTTTGTCACGGAGCATCATTACAGCAAATGCTAATAATAGAAGGACTGGCAGAAGAGCCCAAAAAGCCAAGGTAACAAAATATGAGAAAATGGGAGAGTCAATCACATAGGCCCAACATCCAACTAATAGAGTTTTCAGAAAGAGAACAGAGAAGATGAACACACGCACGCACGCACAGACACACGCGCGCACGCGCCACAAAGGGAACAAGGCTCCAGATTGAAGGGGCTCATGCAGGACCGAGAAAGGGAACGGACTGGCGCCAGGGGGCAGTGTGGTGATACTTCAGAGCCAGGGCAAAAGAGGAGAAACAGCCCGACTTCCAGAGACTAAAACGCGGGAAAGGAGGAGAAATCCGCAGGGTCCAGGGCATCAAGCAAAAGCCCCTGGAAGGTGGGAGGCGGCACTGGAACAACGGCCTAAAAATCCCGAAAGAAAATTACTTGCCCCCGAGAATTTTCACCCAACCAAAGTATCACTCAAGCGAGCAGGCAGAATAAAGATATTTTCAGAACTTCAAAGTCTCAGGAAATTGAGTATCTTCAGGGCCTTCTGAGGAGCTGTGAGATGAGGGGCTCCAGCAGACAAGCGGGGAGCCGGCAGGAGGGACACCCAGGGCCCAGGAACTGGGGTCCCAACCAGGAACGGCAGGGAGGGTCCCTGGATGAGGCAGGTACAGGGTGGCACAGAGGCAGGGGCGGTGGAACCCCCAGACCGGAGGGGTCGCGTCGTTTGTGAGCCGAGTGTCACAGTTTCTCTGGAAAGTTTGGGAACGAATCAGTAATCAGTGCACAGAAAATGAAGCAGAAGGGGCAGGAGGACGCGGTTATCACCCGCAGGGAAACAGAGAAGAGTGGCGGTTGAAGGGCAGCCTCGCCACTTTGAGGGAAACCTCCCCACGCTCAGCTGTGGGCAGGCTTCCGGGGGTCACTGGGGAGCAGACAGACTGAGGTAAAAGGATAAGCCGACTCCAGGTCCGGGGAGGGGGAGGTGTCTTCGGGGGCAGGTGCGGCCCGCAGTCCCTGCGGGGGGAGCCGGCAGATGCGGGCAGCTGGGCCATGACCCGCAGGGCCAGGCAGGGCTGCTGTTCTCAATTATGTGCCCGCAAGTGGTGATAAAACTGGCACAAAATTTTACAAACAGATTGAAGCAATTAAGTAGAGTGACCTAACAGAGAGCACACACAGGGGGCCCACATTCTCACCAGCAAGAGGAGCCATCGTGCACACTGGCTGGGCTCCAGGCCACGGGCAGAACAGACTCCCCCGTGGGCCCGACTGGAAACCAGAACAAGGTGCTCCTGTGGGCGCAGACGGGGGAGTGGAAGGGAAACCCAGTCCCCGGGAGGGGCCAGGGAGGACTCCCACCAGCCAGGAGGGTGTCCAAAGCTGCCCTCTGGAGACACGCGATAGCTTTAAACGCTGGAAAATTAGAAAACAGCCCTGGAACGAGGGACAAAGCAAACAATTCAAGAAGCTAGGAAAACAACAACAAAAGCAGTTCACTGAAAGTTTAAAGACAGAATTAGGAAAGACTGGTGAATAAATTAAAGTGAAAAAATAGTGGGCAATGATCACAAACTGGTTCTTTGAAAAACCAGTAAAACAGAACTACTGTTTTCCTTGTGTCCTCCCCAACTCCACACAGATCTGTCTTTATCATGTTTTTTCCTTTTTTTAATTTTAGTTTTATTAGAGCATACTTGATTTACAATGCTGTGTTAGTTTCAGGTGCACAACAAAGTGAGTCAGTTATGCATATATTCATTCTTTTTCATATAGGTTATCATAGAATATTGAGTAGAGTTCCCCGTGCTCTAGTAGGTCCTGGTTGGTTATCTACCTTGTATATAGTAGTGTGTGTATGTTCACCCCAAGCTCCTGACTTATCCCTCCCCCCAACACGTTTCCCCTTTGGTAACCATATAAATGAACTTATTTACAAAACAGAAACAGACTTACAGACATTGAAAACAGAAACAATCTTCCTGGAGCACCAACCACTTCCTTGTTCAAAACCACTCACTGGCCTCTCCCTGGAGTTCTTTGCTCACTTGCCATGTCATCCCCCTCTTGGGCCCTCATCAGGCTAACTTCCACTCATCCTTTAAGACTCTGGAAGCACTTCTTTGCTCTCCACTCTGCTGCTAGGCTCTACCAGATAGCCCCACTATCCCACTCCCCTCTGTATGTGTGTACTGTAGCCTTAATTGTAACTGTGCCTGCCTTCCTAACCAGGCTGAGGACTTCCTGGGAACAGAGGTATATTTTAACCCAGTCACCTAGCAGAACTCCTAGCCCATACTAGCTACTTAGAAACTTTAATTAATTCATGCTTTCTCTGGGTCCAGAAATGTCATTGATCTAAAGCAGAACACAGTCATGACCCAGCCACCTAAATCTGTTCCGTGAAGCAAAGCAGAGGTGGGCTGAGACGCAAGCCCAGTGCCCCAGACAGATGCCAGAGTCTGTTGGACACTGGTTTCTGCATGTGGCAAATACTAAGTTGGGTCAAGTTGATGCTAACAAACTGAGGCAGGGCCATTCTGACAGCCATTTCTGTCTCCAAGTGAACACTGCATACAGGAGATGCTACATTAAGGTAATTATTTTACACAAAATGTAATCAATTTCCCTGTGTTGCTTTCTCTCCAGCAAATGATTTTGCATAAAGCAAAATTTAATGTTTTGGCCTGGCTAAGAGGCTTTATCTTGGATGGAAAAAGAAGTGCCAGAAATTTCCAAATATCACTGAGTCTTCAAATATTGCACTA